TTTGTAAATTTATATTCATTTTCATTTGTGAAAAATACGAGAGAGGAAATTCGATACCAAAATTTAGTAAATGTTCAGAAGAGGTGTTGTGATCAATTAACTACTTTTTTTCAGGAAACTCTCCCGGACGTTCTAATGATAGACATTTCATTTCTATTTTTTTTTAAATTTTGTTTTTGTTGTAAAAATTTACTTCTGTTTTGTTTATTAAATTTTGGTTTGTTTTGTTTCCTTCATTTATTCAAGTTCTAAAAGTGTATTACCCACATCTTAACAATTTGGTGGCAGTGGTGGGATACATCTGAGCTTGGGTAAATTAAGGAAATATTTTGCTTGCTTGTTTGTTTCTATTATTAATTTTGTTTTTGCGTTTCAGGTTAACAAACTTTCAGAATGTCTGTTATGCCAGAGTGGATGTCGGACTTCATTGAAAAGGGTACAAAAATAAAAGAATGTCTTTGAGATGTGGCGTCAGGAGCAGGAATCCAAGAGAGAGCTCGAAAGGGAGAGATGGGTGCAAGAGAGAGAAGAGCGTCAGGCACACAGAGAGAAAGTGCAAAACTAGAGGTAGAAAAGAACTGAAATTACGAGAGATAGCTATAAGAGAAAAAGAGCTAGAACATGATAAAATTGGGGGGTCTCAACCTCATGAGATTAAATGCCCCACTGTTAAGTTACCCAAGTTTGAGGAGGGACAGGACTCTGATGTCTTTTTACGGTCGTTTGAAAAGATAGCTGGGTTGCAGAAATGGGATAAATCCCAGTAGGCTATTCACTTAGTTCCTATGTTAGCAGGTAAGGCTTTGGAAGCATATTCAAGATTGTCGGATACAGATAGTGATAACTATGTGATCATCAAAACTGCTATTCTCAAGAGATAAGAGCTTACTTCTGAAGATTACAGGGAAAAATTTCATCAGGGTAAGCAGTCAAATGATGAGTCATTCAAAGATTTTGTTAGGGTAGAAAGTAGGGATGTCAACGAATATTCGAGTACTCGACTATCGTTCGATCATACCGACTGTCGACTAAAATTTCTTTAGTCGGTTATTCGTTAAAAAATGTATTTCATCAAAGTAATTTTGAATTCAAGGCAATAAACTTATATTTGCCCATTTTATTTATTTACAGATCAATATTTCCATAAATGTAAAATTAAGGGTATGGTATAACTACTAGTATTCAAAGGAAATTATTTGTACGTCGATGTATGTTCGGCAAACATGTCTATTCAGGAAGAATTATATTAATTACTAGTAAACAGCTATTTCAAAAATCGTAAATACATGTAAATCGGGGTCAGTTTATATGAGAGTAATTAAAACGTGTTTTCTTTTTCTGATATTAATTTCATACAATCATTGATTGTTTGCACAAAATTTCATAATTTAAATTTATCTCTTTAATTGTTTACCTGTCAAAGATCATTGACGGACACGTAATAATTGGCTTCAATTATGGGGTACATGTAAAGAGAGAACAAATACGGGCGTTTGATATCCTGCATCTAGATAAAACGTGCAGCTAATATATTAATTTTGAAATTAAATACATTGGATACATATTGATGTACAGTTTTTATTGCACTACGTACATGTTTACGACTGACAGAAATTCGTTGTACTAGTATAATGGTGATAGCGTAGGTTAAATATTGTAAACTAGTCTGTAAAAGACAAACAGTGAAACTGAAAAACGAAAAAATAATTAAATTAAACGAATATTCGTCTATCGTTCGACTAAAGCATCTGACTATTCGACTAAGCTGTCCGAGTAAAATTGACATCCCTAGTAGAAAGGTACCTTAATCACTGGAGTGAACGTGAGAAAATAGATTCAGATTTTGGCAAGTTGCATGATATGGTCTTGAGAGAACAAGTTGTTAGAAATTGTCCAAAAGACTTGCAGTTGTGGATTCTGGAGCACGACCCAAAGTCTATTGATGAGGTTGTAGTGTTGTCTAATGCATTTCAGGCAGAACATAAGAGTAAGTATCTGAGTGGCAATTGTGTCCAATTTAATGGTATAGGGAATAAGTCGACAGGAAAGCCAAACAAGTTTGGTTTGACAAATTCTCAAAATGGTAAGTCAAATCTCAAGTGCCACTTGAATATGGGGGATAGCAGAAAGTGTTTCATTTGCGATCGAGTAGGACATATTGCAGCAAACTGTTTGCTTAAGAAAACTCAGTCAAAAGGTCTAGACAGTAAAGGTCAGAGAGGCACAAAGCCTGAGAAAAGGTCAGGAAATGTTGGATTGTGTTTAGATAAGTCTGAGTCTAAAGTTGTGGATCAAATACAAGATACAACAAACGGTAGGGTGATTCTCAAGTTATGTGGAGTTGATAATGAGTCGCCAGTAATTGAGACATCGGCAGCATTGGGTTTGGATTCACAAAAAGGCCAGGTGAGTGATCAACCAATTGCAGTTTTAAGAGATACCTGATGCTCTACTGTATTTGTAAGGAGTAATTTTATTTCAGACTCTTAAAAAACAGGACATTCAAGAGTGATAACTCTGGCAGATGGATCTCAAAGAAACTGTGATGAGGCAATGGTAGATCTAAAGACTCTTTATGTATCAGGCAAGGTACATGCCCTTGTTCTTGAGTCTCTATTTGCTGATGTAATTATTGGTAATAATGTTAGCATACTTAAACCAATGGATGACGAAAAAGAAGTCAAGGTGGATGGAGATGACGAGAACACCTGTGCTGCAGTTCAGACACATTTGCAGGCCAAGTTGGAGCAAGGTAATATTAGTTCTCAGAGAAAAGCAACAGAAAAGGATTCAGAGGATGAAGGTTTGAAACAGTTATGATGCAACAGAAAGAAGTTGGTAGAACTTCAAGAATCAGATGACAGTTTAAAATCTGTACTGAGTATTAGCACAAAATGATACTCAAGAAGGTAAGTCTTACTTTCAGAAGCAGGATGGTTTACTGTATAGAATATTTCAGAAAGATTCTGGTGAGAAACTTCCCTAGATCATCATACCAAAGACACTGAGGTCAAAGATAATGTCCCTGGCTCATGACAGTCCACTAGCAGGACATTTAGGTAACAAGAAAATCAGACAACGTAATATTATCTCCCCTTGGAAGAGGGCATGGCCCTTCATTTGTTTAAATTTGAACCCCCTTCACCTAAGGATACTTTGTAGCAAGTTTGGTTGAAATTAGCCTAGTGGTTCTTGAGAAGAAAATGAAATTGTGAAAAGTTTATGACAATGACAGCGACAATAACAACACGAATGACAACATATTTTGATCAGAAAAGTTCACTTGAGACTTCGGCTCAGATGAGCTAACAAGAAGGTATTGATTTTTCATTTGTTATTTAAAGACTTAAGTGTGAATCTACATCTTCAATATAGATTCTTAATCATTTAAGATATTGGATGACACCATATCTATTCACAGAATAGCATGTGATCATTGTTAACTTGCGTTTTTCATTCCCGAGAGTAGTCAAAATATATCCCAAACCAGATATCATTATTTACAAAATACAATTGCTGATTGGTCAATCGATGTCAATCCACCCCATTCACTACTTGAGATAAAAATCACAACTTTTTTTGTAACACTGTATGCCAAGGGCTTATGAGGAGAGTAGCGTATCGAAACCTTTGACTAGCTATAGCAAAGATGTGCTTATATTTACATTTTAACTCATATTGCCTTTCATTGTGAATGTGATTTACACTTCAAAATTCCTGTATTATCAGTTGGGTAAGTTCCATTCAATGGAAGAAACAATGCAACAGTTTATGTCTAAAGTGATCGTGATACAGGTGACTCTCGATGGCTCGAACTCCGATCTCTCGAAGTGAACCTCCGGTCTCGTTTTTTTTCTCTATATAACTAAGCAAATTTACTGCTGATCTCTCAAACTTCTATCTCTCGAAGTTCTCTATCTCTTGAACCAAAACCCAGGTCCCGTTACGCATATTTCATTGAATTTTACTCTCTATCTCTCGAAATTTTGATTGAGCTTGTATTATACACGCAATCAAGCGTAAAATTGATGCAGCCTGGACTTGTCTGGAAAACAGTTAATGCCTTGGGCTAGCATGGAGGTGTCAATTGGGTATTTACATAGATGACACTACACCTGTGGGTCATCCGTGTTAATATAATTATTTATTGGTTATTATCGGTAAATTATAAACAAATTCAAAACTTATTTTTACTTAACCAAGACGATAATTTTTAGATAATAATTTAATTATAGACGTTCGTTTCAATAAGTTCCCATAGAGTATGAACTTTTATTAGAGTCTACATAATCCCAGTATGGCAAATATTACACAAGAAATTCCTTTCTCGAGGACTGAAAACCGATTAACAAAAATCTGGTAAACGCTGTTGAAGGACCCGATCAAGCCGCGGAATAGCCAAACAGACAATTACTATTCGGGTTTCATGTAATCGTGAAATAAGAACAAATAAATATTAATACTTTAGGAAATCATTTTATTTATTCGAAATGCGATCATTGTTGTTGATATAAGGTAAATTAACATAATTACCTGTAAAGTACGATTGAAAATGAGCCAAATGACTTTATTTACATACTCTTGCGGTATTTTTAATAGTAGAACATCGATGATCGGAAATGAAATTTCAGGACTTTATTTACTTTCTATCTCTCGAACCCTTTGATCTCTCGAACTTTTCTTGCTGTCCCTTGAACTTCGAAAGATCAAGAGTCACCTGTATTTGATTTTTGCTTGTGATGTTGCACTTCCATCCCGTTCTGATCAATGTTTGTGATGTCAAACTAAAATGACATCTTTAATCTTTTGACTCTGTGTTACCGTGTTTTAAATGCAGTAGCTTACCCTACACTTTATAAGCAAGTACGAATCTTTAATGAAGCTAAATCGAGGTGATACATGCGTTTCTTGGAACACTCTAGTTTAAGCCAGAATAAATTGTGCAAGAAACTGCCTGATCACTTGTCTCTGCAAATGCTTTTCCATGATACTATAATTACCTTTTGTGGCTTCCATTTCTGACATTCTCTGCTTGTGTTCCCAGGTCCCGCCTTCAGTTTCCTCATCAGAATCATACTCATATTTATTTTTCTTTGCAGGACCTGAGGATATTAATGTCATCTCTGCCATCAGAGCTGCTTCTTCTACCTTCTTTTTGGCCAAAATTAACTCATACATCATGTTCATCTGTAGGTATAAAACAAGAGGTCTGTGAGCCATTTTCACCAGTAAAACCCCTGTCCCGATGTGGAAAGAGCTCTTCTGATCATAAATTGTAAAATCTATCACTTCTAATTGAAGCCTCTAACAGACCTGCCAACCAAAATTGATGCTGTGGGCGGTGCCAGACAACTCACTGAAAGACAGTTCACCGACAATAGTGAAAATCGCCGAATTGACAATTCACCGACAATAGTGTCGGTGAGAAGAAATTCACAGACAATGATTTTATAATAATTGTTAGATGTCGTATTTACATGATTAAGTAGATCTATTCAGATATAATAAACATAATCAAAGATGTATATATATATATATATATATATATATATATATATATATATATATATATATATATATATATATATATATATATATTTTTTTTATTTGTCTTTTTTTGTATTTCCATCATTGTTAAGCACATGTAAACAGATTAATCCGAGCAAGGTCATAGGTCGGCAATATTAGCAGAAGTTTCTGATTTAATGAAAAAAAGATTTGAAAATGAATAAAAACGTTTATTCACATACACAATTTCCTCTAAAAATTTGTTAAATTTCAATGCTTTATATATTTGGTCGATAATGTGTCTGTTGGTGACCCTTCTTTCGGTGACTTGTCGTATCGGCGAGTTTTATAGTGTCTGTGAAAAAAGTGTTGGCGAGTTGTCGTTCAGTGAGCTGTCTTTCGGTCACCTGTCATAGACCCGCTGTGGGGGGTCATGACCCAACATTCAGAATTGAAATGTTGGGTCATAGCACGCGGCGACATTTTTTGAGGTTTGAGTAACAAAATGCTCCCTAATTTTTAGGCATCAATGTATGCTAAAATGAAAATCAATTTATTGGGGGGGGGGGGGATATAACAACGATTTTGCAGTTAAAACATGCATGTATATGTTACATTTCATTGCAGACTTAATTTTTACTCAGTACAGGCTACTTTTGCTTGTACAGGAACACTTTCAGACAATCTGATTAAAATCAGATCCTTTGATCCGCTCACATAGATCGCTACACAAGGATCTGAAGAAACCCCATTCAGGGTCATGATACCCCTGCGCCAACATATTATTCATGATTTTAAGAACCTATATATGAGTTGTTCATAATTGTTCATGAATGGTTCTTAAAGGATTCTTAACAGGTTCATAAAAGTAGTTCATGAATAAAATTCATGAAAACATTCATAATTCATAGTTCATGAACAAATGATGATACAAACAAGAATATAAATCGTAATTTTCAGTTTAAAGAAAAAAACTTAATAGTTCAAGGTAATGAATGTTCATGAATTTTCATGAAGACTAAAAATGTAAAAATTATTGTCACAAACGATTTAAAAAAATATAAACACTCATTACTTCCATAATACAACTTTTGCATGCAGATGCAATTGTTGAACAAGCCCCTGATTTAATTAATAACATGCTTTTGTTTTGATTTTGAAAGTATGGGATCAGAGCCAAGTAGGGGAACATAAGAGGTTAAAATCACTATTTTCTACTCTATGTAATTGATAACTTACATTCTTCAGGATAATAAAACTCTGTTATGAACTGTCTAGAAGGGAGATTGTAATTAAATTATGATCATAATTTAAAGAACACTGCATCAATATTGACAGCATTTTTTTTTCTCATATTGAATTACTAATGTTTCTTCATCATTTAAATTGGCCAGCTATATTAATATTGTGCTTTAAATTATGTCATTTTTCACGACACAACTTTGTTCGACCGAATTTTGTCTACTTGTCAAACTTTTAACAAGTTGTAAGAAAATGAAACAGACTTAGAGTCTAGGAAAAATTTCATAATCTTCGTAAAAACGTATCATAAATTTACTGACAACTAAAAAATTATATCTCTTGTCCGTACTGTGCCGTACCATTCCTGGGTCGAAAAGCTTTATATTTTGATGCAGTTATAAAGTCACATTTTTCTGTCCATCGTGTGTAAATGATACAGCACAGGCTGCATGGTTGTGAAGAAGCTATGACATGAACCACATTCGTATTTAATTTGTAGTATTATTTCTAGTCTATTCTCCTATACACTTTCATAGCTCAGGGTACTCAGTTTGAGGGCGAGTGTTTCCAAGAGATATTTGTTGTCCTCTGATATGGAGGCGGCCATACTTGAATACGAAACTATGGCTCTACAGGTATAATGTAAAAAAAAATCCAATTCAATAAATGATATAATTTATATTAATTTAAAAAAATTAATTTCAGTGAAAAATCATTCAGATAGTGTTTGTTATTTTTTGTTTAACAAAAATCTATGCAATTCGAAACTATTTCTTAATTAGCTCTGCATGACACTTTTTAAAAGGCGCAAACTTTGAAACGCGCGAGACGTTGGAAAGTGAATCGGTAGAGTGGGAGAATTATTAGTGTAGATCTAGTCATTCTTTGTCAACCTTTGAAGAAAATAACAGAATACGAAGAAGGAATGTCCAGAGGATCAATTGACTTCATAACTGCAGATATTAATGGTGAGTTACAAAAAAATGGAGGCAATCGCTGAATCTGTGAGATATTTGTCAAGCTGTTACTGTCTATTTGTAAGAGTTCAGTTATGTCCTTTTTAGTGAAAATTTTGTCAAACTTTGTTCTGAGTAAGGATCCAACCAAATTACGTTACACTTAAGAATTAAAGACTGAAACATTCATCCTGTTCACCTATAACATCTTGAACATGGCGGGCAAGGGAAACAGGCTAAACTTCCGCTAGAAATGCTTTAAAATATGGCAGTGCCTATGATGCATAATTAAATGAAAAAAATATGAAAAAAAAAAAAAAAAACCAAACTATTAAGTCTTAATTTTTCACATTTATGAGCATTTTCAGAAAATCTTTGTTCTTGTAGGGAAAAGAGAAGTAGTTCACAGATAATGTTGATGAGTTGAGATCAGAAGATTAAAAAACTCTGGCTGCCAAAAAAAAAGAATATAAAAAATCCAGGCTCTTGAAGAAAAACAAAAGAAAGGAATGAAAATATGAATCGTAATCGATCAAAGGATCCAAGTGATGAAATTCTGAAAATTCCACAGGGAAAGCCAATAAGAATTTTTTATTTGACCACCTCTGCTCAAAATCCTTGAAAGCCCTTTTAGCTGATGCCCTAATTGCTAAACACACTTTTCTGCCAGACAGTGAGACTTGGATTAAAAATCATTCCATTTTAGGCATACACTTTGAAATACGCTGAATAAGGAACCCACTCTCCTCTTGACCAAGTAAGGTTAAGGATTCTGCAAAGAATCGCGTTTGAATTGAAATTTTTCATAATTTTACTAGGAATGAACTATATAATTTATTTATTATCGTTATCACTTATCAGAGTTGTTTACTTGAACAAAGATTTTGTTACCATGATTGAAAAACAAAAATTCTTTGAAATCTTTCAAGATGCTATTAAAATATTTTCTTTTACAGTTTTTCATTTTGCATAACTTATTACATTTTTGTTTACAAAGAAGCAAGAACATTCATGAATAGTTCATGAACATCCCTAAATAACTTTTATAAATTATTCATGAATAGTTCATGAAAATGCATTGAACTTATTAATATCATTCATGAACTTTTCTTGAAAGTTCAAGAATATAATTCATGAACATTTCTTAAAAGTTCAAGAATTATTCTTGATCATTTTGCAGGTATTTAAAAAATCCAAGTTTGTTCATGAACAACACATAATTCTTGAATATTCTTGAACTTGGTTTTCATGAATAAAATCCATGAAATCATGAGTGTCCAATTTTAACTTCATGGGATCTTCATGAACAATTCATGAGCTGATTCAAGAATATAATTCATGAACTTTTCTTAAAAGTTCAAGAATTATTCTTGATCATTTCGCAGGGGAGAGTCCTAGTGACCTTTCTAATAAAAATATTCATAAAAATTTTGACCAATCAGAGAGGTCGTACTTAAGCGACATTTGGGAAAACGAAATTAGAAGTGAAAGTAGCTGCGGCGGAGATGTTATCGTTTCGTACAAAACAAAGAGCTAAAAAACAAGACAAAAGCAAGTACTTATTATATTACTGTACAGAAAAGACTGTGGTCCTTCTCTTGACAGGCTACAGAAACTAGGTCACGATTTTTCCATTCGTGTATCATCGGGCCTTTCCCCTCTGTAACTGAATTCCGAGATACTTTCCATTTCTCCAAAGTAAACATTTGATTGGATAATTCAAAGGTCACCAGGAGATGACCCCGAATGGGGTTTCTTCAGATCCTTGTGTAGCGATCTATGTGAGCGGATCAAAGGATCTGATTTTAATCAGATTGACTTTCAGATGGATAGTAAGATTCACATACTTTCGGTTAAATAGAATTTTTGCGAAGTTTTAAAAATTTATTCATAAAGTTTCTGGGAAACATTTGTTGAATTCTACAATGATTAATTCTTAACATTTTACACAATCAAAAAATTGTAATTAGACATAACATTGAAAGAAATATTGAAAAATTGCAGGGGGGTTAAGAAATATGTGCCATTTAATTTCCCATTACTAACAAAAATTGATTAAATCAAATACAGTGGCTTCCACTTAATCGGATAGCGGTTAAACGAATATTTCGGTTATTTCAATATAATATCAGAGCACAAAACCATTTCTTATATATTTATTAATAATTTCACCTGATATTCTGATAAGAAAATATTAGAATTTCATTTTATCTGATACAAAAATTTGGTCCATTGTATTATTTTTGGATAATTATGACCTTGTTCACACCTCTAACTTCCCTAGTGAAGCCTTTGTTTACACTGTCTGACACCTTGAGTACGATAATGAGGGGATTAGTTACGGCTGAATGCACGCAGTCACCTTACCTGTGTTAATAATTGGCACACTGTATTGATCTGTTTTGATACAGTTATGATGATCAGCTTGGTTTAAATTACTTTTCAGTGATGAACTCGATAATTATGATAATTGTTTGCAAT